AACTGACTCCCGCCTTGTTGGGCGAGTGGAAGCCTTCCCGTCGCCGTAAGACCTTGATTAGAGAGCGCTGAATGGGAAGATCTGTGTGTAAGTCCAGTTTGAGATGGAGGCCTTCCGGGGGGCTGGGATTGTGGTTGCGATTGAGGTCTTTGTGGGTGCATGCTCATTTGATCTGGCTGGAGGGGGGATTGGCGGTGTGGAGATTGCTGTGACGGTTGTTGTTGCTGTTGTAATGGATGGGGGTTGTTGTGGGACGGTGGTCGAGAGGGGACGGACGGAGGAGGCATGGTAAAATGATTCCCATAAGGATCACTCATATCCTTCATCTGCTCAAACTGCTGGGCAGGTGTCGGATGAAAAGAGCGGTTGGGGGTATTGCCTTGGGTATTCATCATGCCAGAGGGTATCGGTTGTGAGATATCCAATGGAAGGGGAGGGGTAGACGAAGAATCGAAGGGGTATTGCCCGGGGGCTTGTGGTATGCGTTGAGAATTGGATCCTTGTGAGGCTTGAAAATTCATCGCCATCTGCATCTGGTTAGCATTATCGGGGGTCATTCTCGTTCGGTTGACTGGCGTGTGCGATGGACCTGGCGTGGAGATTGACATACTAGCGGCATGATTCGGAGGCAGGGAATTTGGTCTCGGTGATGATGGTGGTTGATGTTGCAGAGGCATGCCATTTGAAAACGCACTTTGGAGATGGGATTGCTGCATTCCAGCGGGATGCGAAACCTGATTCATGGACGGAGGATGGGTCAAACTGTTCATAACCTGTTGGGCTTGAGCAGGTGGCGCCCTCGTTAGATTGTGAGGCATGCCAGGAGGCCCTCCCTGCCTCATCATCATGGACATGTCTGGTGACATAGCCATTTGCTGCTGCTGTCGTTGTAGTTGCGTTTGATGTTGTTGGCGTGGGTTCATAACCATGGGAGATGCACCTTGAGGCATATGCGCCGATGGATTTATGTGGGGCTGGGAGATTACACGACGCACGGTGTTGCTTCCAGGCGGTATCATATTTCCGCCGAAATTGACTTGACCAGCGGCGATGAGTGAGGACATATGAGCTGGCGTGGAGCCCGCTGTCGGGTTTAACGGCTGGGTATTTTGGCGCATAAAATTCCGTTGTTGTTGCTGCTGCTGCCCCTGCTGTTGAGGCAGATATCGAAGTTGACCATTGGGGCCAGAAACCATGGCCATCGGAGGAGTGCCCGGAGGAATGCCCATCTGGTTCGGAGCTAGCAGTTGCTGTCCCATTGGCGGCGGATTTTGCATGAAAGACTGGTTGGTCAAGCCGTGCGGTGGAACGTTTGCGTTTGCTCGTATCATGTCTCCATTGCGGTTGCCGTTCATGGGGATAGTGTGTAGCGGTTAGAGCTGCGTCCTTCGCTCGAGTAGTAAAAGTTGCAACGAGAGGCGGCTGAGCATGAAATGTGGGGAGCAATGATAGAAAAACGGACAGGAATAAGCGGATGGCCCGAGGAAAGTGGAGATCCAACGATCGGGCAAGAGACGCAAGAAAAAATGGGAGGAAGTGGTGAAGGAAGAGTAGGGTAACGGAGGAGAACGTCTTTGACAGCGAGCAAGGGATAAAAAGACGACGACGGGGGGTGAAGACGGTTAGGCCCAGGTTAGGCCAAGTTGAAGCCTGTTGAATGCCCCACACGTGGCATATCTCTCTTTTTTACCACCATGGTCCGTAAACTCAAGTACCATGAGCAAAAGCTCCTCAAAAAGGTCGACTTTCTCAATGTAAGTCATCGTCGTCGTCGTCGTCAATCTCCCTTTACTTATCCTCCGCAGTGGAAGCAAGATGCCAACCTTCGAGAAATTAAAGTTATGCGCAGGTACCATATCCAGGACAGAGAGGATTACCACAAGTAACTACCCCTTGCTGTCCTGCATCTTGGTCCTTATTTGACGTCCAGATACAACAAGCTTTGCGGTTCCCTACGTTCCTACGCCCACAGACTTTCTCTCTTACCAGCACAAGACCCTTTCCGAAGTCGCATGGAGGGCCAACTGTTGTCCAAACTCTACGACATGGGTGTTTTGAACACATCAGCAAAACTAAGTGATGTTGAAAACAAATTGACGGTCGCTGCGTTTTGCCGCAGGCGATTAGCTGTCTTCATGTGCATGTCAAAGATGGCTGAGACCGTCAGTGCGGTATGTTACTTCACTACCCGCCATTCGACACTTTTTTTTTTGACCGTCGAGATGTTTAGGCGGTTAAATTTATTGAGCAAGGTCATGTTCGTGTGGGTCCCGATACCATCAATGATCCCGCGTTTCTCGTAACCAGGTGGGTGCCAAAGTAGCCTGGTGGATTCTGATCCCGCTCAAGAACGTCCGACAGACACATGGAGGACTTTGTGACATGGGTGGACACATCGAAACTGAAACGCACTATAATGGAGTATAACGACGAGGTATTTGGGGTTGCTGTAGATGAATTTCCTGTTCTGACATTTTTGCTCACAGCTGGATGATTTCGATCTCCTTTGAGAGGGTAATATCATTGGTAAATACCGCCCAAGTTGGCCAACATCCCGAACTGCAGCATAACCACCGCCTGAAGCATTCTGGCCTGATTGCCTTCCAAAGCCCACATTGGTGCCGAGGATATTTCACGGAGTTAGTACAGGAGACGGCATCGCTGCAGGCGAAGTTCGGGGGAGAAATAACCAGGATATTCCGAGTTGTCCTTAGAAATAAATACATGACTTTCCTTTTCCGTCGACGCGCGTGAGTGTTGTTAGGGCAGAAGTTGAGCACGCGTTTAAGCGTAACTTATAGACCGAGTCCTTCCAACATCTTCTCCACAAACTTCAGGCCCCCTCTGGGGAACGCCCCGTTCATTTATCTTTCGTTTAGACATGGCCGAGAGCGGGGATGGGAACATCAAGGTTGTCGTTCGATGTAGGCCACTCAACTCCCGAGGTATCCCCAGCCTTTGCCTCTTCACTCATTCCCGCCATCGCGCGCCGAGCTGACTTTCCAATGAACAGAACTGGCTCGCGGCGCAAAGCCACTCATCCGCATGCAGGGAAACCAGACGATTCTGGACCCTCCAGAGCAGGGCTCGACACAGGACTCGAAACGCGCGACGGAGAGAAAGACAATGGCATTTAGTTTTGATAAGAGTTATTGGTCTGCGGGCCCAAGGGATGAGCCCGGTTATTGCTCACAGCAGACGTTGTACGATGATTTAGGAAAGGAATTGTTGGACCATGGCTTTTCGGGTTTTAATGCTTGTATCCTTGCTTGTAAGCTGCTCAGTCTCTTTTTCTCGGCGTCGTAGCTGAACGTGTCGCGTCGTTTAGATGGGCAAACTGGTACGAGATTGAAATTGCTGGATGGGTTGGTACTGACCTTGCAGGATGGAATTAGGATCGGGGAAATCTTATAGGTGCGTTTAGACCGTAATCTATTCGACAGCCCAAATACTAACGCGACGTTGTTGCCAGTATGATGGGATGTTAGTTATCTTCATCATTGAGCTCGGTTTAACGGCTTTACCAACCTTACAAATCTTTTAGATGGTGCAGACAAGGGTATTATCCCCCTGACCTGCTCAGAACTTTTTGACCGTGTCAAGGACAAGTCGGCCCGGGACCCGAATATGAGCTTTACCGTTGAGGTCTCATACATTGAGGTCAACCTTCCATTTTCACGCGCCATGGTGCTCGGCTGACCGCTCCACACAGATTTACAACGAGAAAGTGCGGGACCTTTTGAATCCCAAGAACACAGGAAATCTCAGGGTTCGCGAACACCCAAGCCTGGGACCTTATGTTGAGGATCTTTCCAAGTTGGTTGTGAGCGGGTATGAAGAGATGATGACCCTCATGGACGAAGGAAACAAGGCGAGAACGGTTGCGGCTACGAATATGAACGAAACGTGCGGATATCATCTTACGTTCTCAAAGTCGCCTTCTCCTTATGTTCGAATAGGTCATCGCGTTCACATGCCGTCTTCACTCTTCTTTTGACGATGAAAAGACATGATGTAGACACGAATATGGACACTGAGAAAGTGTCGAGGATTAGGTCCACTCTTTGCCTCGTTTTCGTGCACATTCATTCAGCTGACATCTCTTGGGGGGCAGTTTGGTCGACTTGGCTGGATCAGAACGGGCCAACTCCACTGGCGCTACCGGCCAGAGATTAAAAGAGGGGGCGAACATTAATAAATCACTCACGACACTCGGAAAGGTCATTTCGTCACTGGCTGTGGCGAGTCAATCAGATGGAAAGAAAGGAAAGAAGGGAAAGGCGGAAGAGTTCGTTCCTTATCGCGACTCTGTGCGTGAATGTCGCACTTCTGGCCAGATATTATCTACTTAACTGACCTCCACAGGTCCTTACCTGGCTGTTGAAGGATAGTTTGGGTGGCAATTCGAAGACCGCGATGATAGCTGCGATCTCTCCTGCTGATTACGAGGAAACCCTAAGCACACTACGTTATGCCGATCAGGCAAAGAAGATCAAGAACAAGGCAGTGGTGAACGAGGATCCTAATGCGAAGCTTGTGCGCGAGCTCAAAGAGGAATTGGAGACGTTACGAGGTACGACGCAATCGGACTGGTCGTGTATGCTGTTTATGATCGTTTTTTCTAGCTCGCGTTGCTGGTGCTGCTACTGAAGAAACCTACGATCCCCATGTGCCGCCAGAGAAACAGAAGGTCACGTATAAGACCAAGGATGGCCGCATCAAGACGGTCACCAAGGCTGAGCTCCAAGATCAGATGGAGGCGAGCGAGAAACTTATGCAGAGCCTGAACGAAACTTGGGAAGAGAAGCTGGAGAGGACTCAGGAGGTTCAGAAGGAACGGGAGAGGGCATTGGAGGAACTGGGCATTACGGTGGAAAAGAATCTCGTCGGTGTTCATACGCCAAAGAAGGTCAGAATACCATCCTCGTATCTGCCCCACACGTCTTACTCATCAACTACTTCGTGATCAGATGCCACATCTCGTTAATTTGGTGCGTCTTTATGTCCACAAATCACCGTTTTATTGGAGGCTAATTGTACTTGTATCTCGATAGAATGAGGGTATGATGTCATCAAGGCGCGTTCTAATGGGCCGTCAACTGACCACTATTTTTTTCAAGATCCTCTCATGAGCGAGTGCTTGATCTACCAGATCAAACCTGGGAAGACCATCGTGCGTTTCCTGTTCTCCACATGGTTGTAGTTGACAAAAACGGTACAGGTTGGTCGTCTGGATAGCGAACAACCGGCCTCGATCAGGCTGAGCGGAGAAAATATTCTTGAGGAGCATTGTTACTTAGAAAACACAGATGGAAAAGTTGTAATACAGAGTATGCCAGATAGCGTAACGGTATGCCCCATTCACCTGCGACATCTCTCAGTTCTGACAACGTCTGACAGTTCTTGAACGGAAAACAAATATCTCCAGGAACAGTAAGCTTCGGGCCTTCACTTCGAAACAATTAATCTGATGAATTTGGGCAGCCACACAGACTTCGTTCTGGTTTTCGCATCATTCTCGGTATGTTCTCTCTTTTCGACGCAAACCTTGAATTTAATTTGTCCCAGGCGACCATCATGTTTTCAGATTTAACAACCCGGAAGAGGTGCGCAAGCAACGTGACCGGGCCACCATGAAATCAAATATGCACCTCAGTCTCTCTGCCGCTGAGATAGAGGCGATGAGCGAAAGCTCTCCTCGACCTGACTCCCCTACGTCTTCCACAGATGAGTTGGCAGACGTGGACTGGAACTTTGCCAAACGTGAAGCTGCCTTGGCTCGATTAGGTTTAGATCCAACGCTAGACAACCTCCCAGACGAAGATTTGAACAAGTTGTACGAGAAGATCACAAAAGTGAAGACATTGCGAGACCATAACTCAAAGTCACGGCCAGAAAGCAGCCTCAGCCAAGCAGATGATGTCTGGAGTGAAGCTGGTCGGCCGTTGCCCAGTGAGGCAGCCACGGATGACACGAGCATAGACGCTGGACCAAGTTGGGGGAGTCCTGTGGCTGATGATTCCCTCAAAGATGTTCAACAACAACTGGAGAGCCGGCTTCAAGAAATCACGGACTCTTCGACTGAGGCGGAGGACTTGAAGGTGGAGAAAGACCATATGGAACATCAACTCCGACTCGTCCGTGCGCAGATGAGACGACTTGTTGATGCAAGAGCTCGAGGTGAAAATGACGTGGAGGGGATAGAATTTGAGCCAGTTATCTATTCTGCTCGGCAGCTCAGATTGATCCGAAAGGTTCTTGATCGATGGAGAGCACATCGATCTTTCTCTATGGCAGAACTAATATTGACAAACGCAGTCATAATGAAAGAGGCCAACGTTATTAGGTGAGAAAATCGACTCAATTGGCACCTACTTGCTGAAGCTTGAATTTTAGCAAGGAACTTGGAAAGCAAATATCATACAACTTCACAGTAGCCTCCGGCGGTTCTCTCGCCGCCCCAACTTCCGCTGTCGACACCATTGCGGGCCTGGACGAATTTGGTGACGTCGCAGACCCCATCCTTGCCTCTGCTACCCAGCCATCAGTCGCAGTCAAAGTGCTTGACAAACGACACAATGCCATCTACGCATGGTCCCTTGATCGAATGCAACAGCAACTTCAGCGTATGAGGAACCTCACAACCTATATCGACCGCCCCTCATACACACAACACTTCTCATCCGACGAACCATTCTTTGATTCCCCACCTCCGGAGTACTCCTTTATTGGAAATGCCCTACTTTCACTTGCTCCACTTTCCCGAAGATTATCATCAACGTCAACGGTCCCGATCTTCTGTCGATACACAGCAGAAGCCATTGGCTCATGTCGAGTTGACATCAAAGTTGTGAATGTTGTTCTTTCGGCCAAATATTTAAACGGATCTTCTTCCTCCACTCGCTCCTCCTCCCCAGTTCCGGGACATGTCCCTCCTGGAACCAAATTGAGCTTCTTTTTGACTGTTGACTCCATCAAGGGGCTCTCGTCGCATGATTTCTCCGGAGTCCATCTCCAAGTCCGTCTTTCCTCTTTTGTTGGCCCAAGTCTTTCAGCAGAAGAGGTATTTCCGTCGGTTGCGCTCAACATCGACTCGTCATCACTATCAGAGTTGAAGTTCCGAAGAAGCTTCTCCATCGTAACCACTTCTAAGGTTCTGAATCACTTGCGGCAGGGCTATGCTCCGATTGAGTTCTTTGCTGCACTCAAGCCCACATATCTGGAGCGCATGGAGCGATGGGACGAAATGCGTGAGCAAAAGCAATACCGGCCTAATCCAAGCCCTTCTACAGAATCTAGGCCAGCAACACTTCCACCTATGCGACGCTCTGAAACCGATTTTGTTGTAGAGCAAGTTCATGACGTCGTTGCATGGCTTCAAGTCTGTGAACTTGGTCCAGACGGCTCTTACATGCCAGTTCCTGTGATATCACAAGGCAGCCTTGATCCCGGTGTTTTTTCGCTTCATCAAGGACTACAGCGGCGTATCATTGTTTCTCTGTCATCTAATTCTGGTTTACAACTTCCATGGCTTGAGTTCACAAAAGTGCGGATCGGAAATGTTCGACTACTTGACCCTAAAGGGCGCATTCACGATTCGACATCGAAAGCGCTGGTAACTATGCCCCTTCTGAAAGACCAGACGGTTGACTTTAAACCAGACGGAACAGGCACCTTGTCCGCTGAGGCACTGTGGGACTCCAGCGTTCATGACTCTGTTTTACTCAATCGCGTCACAGCATCAAACCAGCGTATTCTTGTCCAACTTACTTGGGCTGTCGCAGTGGAAACATGCAGCGATCCGATGCAGTTCAGTATGGATGTTGCCATTGCCATGCAAACTCGAGATGCCAGTCCACCGTCTAAACTTCTCACCTTCTTTGGCTCCAACAAGATCTTGTCCAAAACTAGCAACCTTTTCACAGTGCGGTTGTCGCCTCCTCTCACTCGGTCTGCTAAAGATCTTTGGCGACTTGATACCTCAGAGAAGTATGTGAGGGGTGAGGAGACTTTGGGCGCTTGGAAACCTCGAGGCATTTCAGTCGTTGAAGATTACACACGACTAATCATGACAGAACGGCGGGCAGCCGACGTTCAAGCAATCCGCGTCATCCTCACAAATTCGCCTCCGAAACCTGTGCAAGCCGATACTTTGGCTTGGCGTGCAGATGATCTTTTGCAGAAATCCCTTGCTCTGTGGCAGAAACAATTTGGGCATCAGGGAAAGGTTGTCAATTGTCTTATTTGAGTGATTCTCGTGGCAAGATGCTGATTTCTTCTCGTTCAGATCGTACTCAGCCAGGAGCCTAGTGACCACGAAGAGAACGGGACTTCGAGTAAACCACTTGACCAAATAGATGGATTAAAGTTTATCTCTGAGACGAAACTTATACCTCGGAGGTACTTATTTGCCCAACTTGAGATTGCAAGTTCACGAGAAGGCTGATCATTGACTACAGCGATGGTGCTACCAAGAAGGGACATCTGATGATTCTCACTGATGCCAGCCAGAACATTTGGGAAAGGAGATGGTTCGTCCTGAATAGGTATGATCTTCTTATTCACCCGTAAATCATAGTTGACGAATAGTATTACAGACCCTATCTTCATGTTTACGCCCATTCCAATGAAGCCGAGGAGACTGGCATAATCAGTCTGACGGGTGTGAACGTGGAGAGCGATCCTCATAAAGAATTGTTGCTAGGCGTACGTTTCCTTCTTTTTAAAAGTACAGGTTCAATTATCTCAACCCTTACAGAAACCTCACTCGTTCACTCTTTTCACTGCTTCAAACTCTCACGCTCTTGCGGCTCCTAATGTAAAGGAGCTCCAATCATGGATAATGAAACTAGATCCAACTCGCCTACCATCATAGCATTGTGCGTCTTCTCGTTCTTTTTACCCGATTGCGTTGCCATGGCTGTCATCTACACAACAATCGTTACCACTAGATATATCTTCAACAGTATGTGCTTATGTCCATCTGCCCATCACTCAAGGTCACCCCAGGAGGACTGTAATACCACTATAACATATAATTGATACCCTCGCCACACTATGCCGCATGCCGACTAGTATAGAATCATTCGTCTGCTTTACACTGGTCCTTGAGGAGCTTGACCCACACATTATGAAAGAAGAGACTCGTCGTAGGCGGCCTATCCTTCATGATCAACTAAGGAGACCTTGCTTTCAAAATTTTACATAAATTCAAAGCTATGCGAACTCACGAGATCTAACACAGGAAAAGAGTAGTATATCGTTTAGCAATACATATGTGCTGAATAGCTGGTAATCATTAAAGTTCCTTCCATGGTGGTGCGACTGGTAATTCTAGTTGACGTCTAGTTAGAGTGCAAGATAAGGTGATAATAATACATCCCAAGCGCCCTAGGTGGCACTTCCTCCTCCGTTCATTTAATTGTGGAAAGAGGATCACTCAATCACAGCATACTGCTGGTGTATCGTTCTGGTGGATTGAGTATGTCAGAGAAATAGCATATGGTGAAACGAATGATACTGACCTGGCGGATAAAGGTGAGCATATGACACGTAATATAGCCCTTTGCGAAACCAGCGCCAGCGTATGCAAAGAGGTACTCCCACTTGCGTTTGAACGCGGCATACTCATGTACGTCTCGAAGAGATGGGTAGTCTCTTGAGATGAGATCTTGTGTCAAGTTTGCCTCCAAACGCCTGCCCCATTCCCGAAGAGTCCGAGGATAATCTGAATTTGAGGTAAGAATGTATTGGGGCCGTTTAGAAAAAATGAAAGGCGTACGGGCAGCATGGTTCTCAACGCCCTCCAGGGTGAAGCGGCCTTGTGATGCAGCTTGGGCAGCAGTAATCAAAGCTGTTGCGCTGGGTAGGCAAGAGTTTGGCCACATGTATTTGCGCATGAAATCCTCGGCCCTGTTGTAGAAATTTTAATGAATACGTAAAGGTATTCTAAAGAGTACGCACTGATAGCCAGAGAATCTGGACTCTGGGAACGTGGAAGACGTGACAACAACTGTTGCGTTTTTGGACTTTAGAGCAAAGTCAACAAGTTTGAAGTATGTGTTATAGTGTTTGGTGCCAACGTGCTTGTTACTCATCTATCAGACAATGGTCGCGAGAAGAGAGAGCAAAAGGCGAGCACACCTCTAACATCTCTATGCTAACAAAAGCGTCGAATGCCTTTTCAAATTCGGCTGGAATTTCCCGGTAATCGAGAAGGTGGACTCGGATTCGCCCCTCTAAGCCGGCGTCTTTGATACGTTCTTCTGCAAGGATTTTTTGTTCTATAGATAGCGTCAACGTATCAACTTCGCAGCCGAAAGAGCGAGCAGCCTGATAAACGAGTAAGAAATTGGTTGAATAGAATAAAAGAACAGCACACAGACCTCAATAGCAAGACCTCCCCATCCACTGCCGAACTCGAGAATTCTGTTTCCCGGTTTCACACGTGCCGTACGAAGAACGTGGTGGATTTTTCGTCGTTGAGCTGCTTCCAGATCCCCAGGTGTCGGACCCATCTCGAGGTCTCCGCGAACGCCACCCTCTGCTTCGCTCCAAAGGGCACACGAGTACATCATCTCCTTGCTCAAGAATGCCTGGCAACGTCGCATCGTTCAGCGGGCGTTTACAACCTGGATATGAAGGCGGCGTACCTGGAACAAAGCATTTGACTGATCATAGCTGGCGATTACGTTTAGACGCGCTTGAGAGCGCGTCTGGCCAAGGAAGCTGTTGTAAATCCCAGTGATCGCCGCAGATACCTTCGCAACTGTGGATGAGAGAGTTTCCGCCATTCCGGATTCATTCTCTAGCCATATCTAAGTATTGTGAGGATCGTTAATCAACATGAGTTAACAACACAAAGAGTTCACGCACCCGCATAGCTCCCTGAAGGCTGGATACCTCGATGTCGCCAATCATATAGGCCTCACTGACTGATTTTTCGTTCATGAGCAAAACGACGACAGGTCACATGAGGGGGACTGCTCACAGCCGAGATCGCCAGACCTAGCAGGGGTTCGTTTAGCACACATTCGACGCGTACTTAATTTGAAAATTGACAACATGACTTACAGTAGAATTCTTAACCAGAAAGTGTCATTGTTAATAGTGAGATGCACATCATTGCATCCTTTTTGGTATTTTCCATAGTAGTGTGTCCCTTCGGAATCAGAGATTGTAAGATGCCCGATGCCAATCGCATCCTCCAGAACGGCGAGTATGGATGTGCGCGCTAGAGTAGTGTCCTCAGCACATGTCCGTGACTGCAAGTAAGCGATGGTAGACCCACCAAAGGCTACCGCCCACGATCGAGGGCTCAACGCGTGCAGGGAGAAACGCGACGCGGCCTTGAGGGCCGCTGAGGACGAAGGAAGGCTGACGCAAGACGAGGCAACTTGTGAAGGCATGATAGCTGGGAAGGTATATGAGGACCGGAGACGGGGAGGACTGCCGAAAAGAGGGCGGACGGTACTGGCCTTTTAAGGAGAAGGAATACATGTGTAGATCAACGGGTAAGCAGATAAATCTGCGAAAGACAAGGCGACCCAAGGGAGAGGATTCGCGAGCAGTCATAGGAAGCAGAATTGAAAAGGATGATTGCCAAAGGAAACAATTTTTGTCCACGGCAAGAATTCTGTTAGGGTCGTTCTCATTCCTCGATATGGCTGTCCCGTCAAATGGGGGTCAGGGTGTCCCTTGAGCATGTCCCCGTAGAAAGGAAGCTATAGGTAGGAACTCTGATCAGATCTCGTTCGCCAGTACCCGACAGCACGGCGTAATAACAAGCAATGCACATACTCTTCCAAGGAAGCCCACCTTCAGAGCAAGATTAATCCAAGATTAAATGCCACACTCCTTCCAGTACACGTGCCTATAGTCCACAAGACCCGTCCCAGAGACACCAGAATCCTGGGATTCTAAATATCATCAACTTTGCATCAGCTCGAACAAAGTTCAAGATTCGACTCAAGCCTACATACACTCACTGAAATAGCCTTTTGGCTTGCTATTCTTCTTCTTCCAGAAACGACACCGTCCATCCATTTTTTGGGATGCACTGTTGGAAAAATACGATAAAAATTCAGGCTTGCTCGCGCATCAAATCCCACTGGTAAAAATACAGTTGCTTCCCACCCGTAAGCGCACACAACCCGGCGACGTCCCTCTGCAGAATAAGTTTACCTGGTCATGTTTCCCTTCCAGGTGTATTTTTTGCTAGCCGCGGATTCAACATTTGCGCCATAATCAGCTCAGCGGTCCGTCAGCCCACCCCCAGTGCGTCATCAATTATCCATCTTCCCGAGGTAGCACCACTAAATATCGACCCTGACCAGGAAGTGCTCAGAAAAGTAAGTCCGGATCCTAAGCAGTCAAACGCGCGCGGTCACTCACTGATCAAGAATCGAATCACGACTTCCTCGGTTTTTCAGCAGACATATCGTTTCTTTGCATGCAACTCCTCGGTACGCCCACGGAATATTTCGCCTACTTACCCGTTCGCATACCTCCCAATGTCCGTTGTGTTTTTTTTTCCCACTGGCCTGGTCGCTGGTCATATGGTTATCACCTGCGTGTTGCGGATTTAGTGCATCTCGGCCGATACCGCTCAATCGTCGAGATGTGCGACAAAAAAGGTTGATCAATTGACTCACCAACGACCATACATCCCTTCGCGCCTCCAACGATACCTTGTAATACCTTTCAAAAATGCGTAGAGGACCTACAGTCAGACTTCATTTAGGAACCAATGCGCTGTGGAGTCGAGTCGTTTATCGCTCAACGTATATTTATTCAGCTCCAACTAAATATTTTCTTCGTTGTTTGAAGCATATTCACCTCGACAACCGGGCATCTAGTTTAACCTACCGAACAATAAGGCTGAGTGTATCATGCGGTTTCTGTCATGGAGACTCACGGGGAGTTTATGTTAGAATGGCTTTGACGATACGGCGCTGATCAGCGACAAATCGTGAAGATACGCTCATGTGCTTCTTCCTCTTGGCTGCTGGATAGGAAAACAGAAAGGAAACACCCCAGTTTTGAGTCATTTGCCGTGCGGGAGATGATGGAAGCGTCGTGTCTTTACATTTCTTGACTGAGAGTTTGTACTATGTCGACCATTTTTGAAGGGAGGGAACGGATCTTTAGAGGCGTTGAAACGAAACATATTTGCAGGAACCTGGAGACGCATAATATCGCTTGAATCAGTGTTTCGTCTCAAGAAAAAGTGACATTCCACAACATGCGCAATTGGCTCGATGGTCTCGATATGTAAGAGATCTGTCCGTTCCGAGTGCGACGAAGCGGAGCGATCGACACGCGGATTCTTTGGAAGAGTTAATCAGACTACAGATTGCCGCAAGACTCACGTCTCACAGAAGGCCGGTAGAACAACTCTTAACTTGAACGCCGGCGTCAACGTAAAGCAATCATCTTTTGTTGGGGTTCTGACGTGGGCCGGTATACGTCCTCTCCCTGAGCCTTGAAAAGCTAGAGCATAGTTGATTGTATGTGATTCGCCGATGAGCTTTCGAGGTCGTTCCAGGGTGCAAGAGAGGGATCGAGGCTGATCGGAGTTGTTCGCAAATACACTCTGGAAGAACGGAAAGTCTCAAGGAGATGTCCTTTGGGAGTTCTCGAAAAGTACGCCCATGCCACCCATTGAGACTCGAGAAAGCCAAATGAGTAGCAAGCAACTCATATCATTTCAAATCACAGCGAGACTGCGTTCCGCTCGCAATGACGTCGTAGAGCTGTAGTATAGTCTGCTAGCAACGTCGTTTACAACCCAGTCCAAGCCAGAAACAAGGTTTTCCCCGGTCACTGCGCTGCAAGGCCATATTTTCCAGTGATGTGTTGTTATGGAGCGAAGGTCAAGCGCCTGTGGAAAGTGGGAAACGGTATGAACTCATACTTCGAATATCAGAGCAGGCCGCGATGGATCTTACGTCGCGTATTTCAGTATCCGTCATTGAACCTTGTAAATCCTGTTTGTTGGCAAAGACCAGGAGGGATGCGCCCGCCAAACGCTAATGACAAACGTGATAGCCGTGCAGCGTTGACAATAAGTCAGTTCCGATATTGCTCTGGGGAAAGCTCATAATTCTCACATCTTCAGTCAGAAGACTATGTAACTCCTGCTTGCAATCCTGCATGCGCATCCTATCACCAGAGTCGACGACCCATACTAAAGCATCTGTTTGTTCAAAATAGTTTCGCCAATAGGGTCGAAGAGTTCTTTGGCCGCCGACGTCCCCTGATGAGAAGAGCGGTCGGATCTTTGTGGCGGGGGCGCGTAGTAGGGGATCCACTTACAGATGTTCAGGGTATAGCTGGGTAAAGCTATTAAATCCGCATCCAAACCAAATACGCGAATAATCCTGGCTTACTGTCCGTGCGCAAAGGTCTTGATATTGAAGCCCAACGTTGGGCTGATTCCAGTTATGTCCTCTCCATTGAGCTTCTTGAGAATGGTGGTTTTGCCTGCATTGTCGAGACCTCTGATCGAAGTCAGGAAGAAAGACGACGTCTGGCGCTTGACACATACAAGAAAAGGATTCGCATTTCCTTTTCCTTTTGACGATTCTTGCGAATAACAGTGAGGAGGCCCATAAACGATAACTAGTATGTCGTAAACAGGCAATGTCACGCGGCATAAATTGTATGTAGCTGAATCTAGTCACCGGAACCGTTGCTTCTACCATAGTCATCTCAAAATCATCGATGCCGCCCAAAAACAAAGGAAAGAAGGGAAAGAAGGGGGATGATGATTTCTGGTCTGTTCAATTTTATCGACAACTCTCGCACTCACAATATATCACGGATCTATAGGGATAAGGCTGGCGAAACGGTTGAACCTCAAAATCTAGCATCGGCCCCCGACGATGTTGAAGAAACCTTCGCAAAACAGTCCAGTCTAAGCTTCTCGGGGTTTTCTGCCTTGAGCATGACCGATAACACGCCTGCTGAAGCGGATGATGAGGATTTTGGCGGTCTTATGGTGCGTATGAGACAATATGTTGGAATGAGATCTTGTTCATTTTCAATTAGTCTGTAATCAAAGCTTCTACCGCAAAACCCAAGAAAGATAAGCAAAAAAAGAAGGCTTTTGAACCTGTTAATGGACTCGTTGACACAGCGGAGGCGGACGATGCGGCTACTACGGTTTCAAAACCACCGCAACAAGTTACAGCGGAGGATATGGCGGATGAAGAATGGGGCCCAGTGAAAGAGAAGAAAAAGAAAGATAAAAAGGGCAAAGGAAAGAAAGGCAAGGCAGGGCTCGAAGAGGAGGAGGAAGAGGAGGAAAAACCAACAGGTTAGTGGGTAAATCATCATTGATATTTAACCGGGATGAACCCATTCTATACATAAGCTGAGGCAACGGCCACTTCTGAAGCTCCGCCAGCTGTCCCTGAAAAAAACGATGACGATGCTGGTGATGAGATAGATGAGCCTGGAGCCAAGATACTCTCGAAGAAGGAGAAGGAAAAGCTGAAGAAAGAGAGAGAAAAGGTTAGTGAATGCTCGAAAAAACAAGATAATTTCTCCTAACATCTATCAGGCCAAAAAGAAAGCACAGGTAGCTGCAAAGAAGGCTGCTGAAGGAGTCGAGCCAGCTGCTCCGCTCCCCGCTGCTGCTGTTGAGCCTCCGAAAGCAGATGAAAAGGATGAGGAGGAAGGCGAGGAAGCTGCGGGGGGAAAGACGGATGCCAAGAAAAAGAAGAAGAAGAAGGGAAAGAAAGACGACGAGCCCGCCCCAGCCCCCGCACCGGCGCCTGCTGCTGGAAAGAAAAAGGGGGCCATCAGCGCGCTCAAGGCCATAATGGAAGAAAAGAAAAGATTGGAGGAAGAGGCGCGACGCTTGGCAGAGGAAGAGAGGAAGCGGATTGAGGAGGAGGAGAGGAGGTTGGAAGCAGAGGAGCGCAAAAAAGAAGAAGAAAAGCAGCGTAGAAAAGAGAAAGAAAAGGTCAGTATTTCCCGTGAAGCCATTGACACTGGGTTTACTCATACTTTACACAGTTGAAGCGTGAAATCGCGAAGAAGGAGGGGCGCCTACTTACAAAGAAGCAAAAAGAAGAAAAACAGATGGCCGAAATTCGCAAACAAGCTCTTTTGGCTTCTGGGGTACAGATTGAGGGTTTACAGCAACAATCAGGAAATGGTCCGCCGGCACCAAAGAAGGTTGTTTACGGGAATCGTAAAAAGAAAGGTCCAGGTGCAAAAGACGCATCTCCCGCTCCAGAATCGAGACCTCGGTCACCAGAGCTTGCCTCGCCCATATTACCAGTCGCAGAGGAAGTGAAACCAAACGCTGATGAAGACCTAAAGTCCGACTGGGAGGCGAGCAGCGACGAAGAAACGAAAGCTGCCGCGGGAGTCAAAGATTCGTGGGATGCCTCAAGTGACGATGGAGAGGCTTCTCCCGAACCAGCCAAGCCCAATAAGAAATTGGATGTTAAAGGTGGGCAACTTTTCAAAAGGTCTCTTTGACCGATGCGTGATCGAGTCTTTTTCAGCCCCATCTACTGAGGATAAACTAAAGCCTCCTTCCACGAAGCCCATATCGAAAGTTCAACCACCAGTCAAAGGCGCTCCGAAGCCCGTAATCTCCAAAGTAGCCGCTGTGAAACCCCCCTCTAAAGAGGAAGAGGAAACGTCGTCGTCCGAATCAGAGAATGGCTCAGGAGATTCGGAGGACAGCGACTCTGACGATGATTCCGAAGATGAATCTTCTTCGGATGAGGAGCTGACCACTGCTCAGAAGATGGCAGCTCAACGAAAAGCCGATGCTGCTGAGCGACGTGCTAAGGCACATGAATTGGCTTTGGCTGCGCGGAATAAGGACGATTTGCGCAGCCCCATTTGTTGTATTCTTGGACATGTTGATACTGGCAAGACTAAATTGTTGGACAAGGTAGAATGGCTTCTTTTCTACGCAGCTCTGGCTAATCTCTGATCAGATTCGTCAAACCAATGTCCAAGAAGGGGAAGCCGGTGGAATCACCCAACAAATCGGAGCCACCTATTTCCCAGTAGACGCGATCAAGACGAAAACTGCAGTTTTGAACAAGGTACATTTCTGAATTCGTTGGTTGACTCTATCATCTGACACGAAGTTACAGGATGGACAACAGGAGTACAAAATTCCCGGGCTATTGGTCATTGATACACCCGGTCATGAGTCTTTTACAAATCTTCGTTCTCGCGGTAGCTCGTTGTGTAACATTGCTATTCTCGTTGTCGATATCATGCACGGACTGGAAGCCCAAACATTGGAATCCCTGCGTTTACTGAGGGATAGGAAGACGCCTTTTATTGTTGCTCTCAATAAGGTCGAGCTAGGATATCCTCGATGCGACTACTGCTAATGTTGGTTTTTTTAGATCGATCGCATATACGGATGGACTCCTACACCCGATGGTGCTTTCCGCGAGTCCTTGGAGAAACAAAGCCGTTCGGTCCAGCGGGAGTTCGAGGACCGTGTTGCGAAAACCATCCTCGCGTTCGCAGAAGAAGGTCTAAACGCCTGTCTGTACTACGAAAACAAAAGCTTCGCGCGCAACGTTTCATTGGTTCCGACGTCAGCGATCACGGGAGAGGGAGTTCCCGACATGATCATGCTTCTCGTCAATCTCACTCAGCAGCGGATGAGCGACCGACTAATGTACTTGTCTGAGCTCGAGTGCACTGTTCTCGAGGTCAAAGTTATCGAAGGCTTGGGCACGACAATTGACGTCGTCCTTTCGAATGGTATTTTGCATGAGGGGGACAGAATCGTTGTTTGTGGACTCAATGGCCCAATTGTAACGCAAGTTCGGGCACTGCTAACCCCTCAGCCACTCCGAGAGCTGCGAATTAAGGTCGGCACACACTTTTGCTTTTTACTATTGCTGACAAATATCGACAGTCTGCGTATGTCCACCACAAAGAAGTCAAGGCAGCATTGGGTGTCAAGGTCACAGCTCCCGATCTGGAGAAAGCTATAGCTGGTTCGCGCCTGCTTGTGGTCGGACCTGACGACGACGAAGAAGATCTCAAGGAAGAGGTTATGTCGGATTTGACTTCTCTCCTGAACAACATCGACAAATCTGGTCGTGGTGTTTGTGTTCAAGCTTCCACGCTTGGGTCACTGGAGGCTCTCCTAGACTTTTTGAAGACGAGTAAAATCCCTGTCTCGGGTATCAACATCGGACCCGTGTACAAGCGGGATGTCATGCGCGCGGGTACCATGCTGGAAAAAGCGAAAGAACTTGCCTGTATTCTCTGTTTTGATGTCCCTATTGATAAAGAAGCAGAACGGCTGGCAGAGGAGATGGGAATCCGACTGTTCAAAGGTACAATATATTCTCTATTGTCTCATGCACCGTTGTTAACATCCGTGCAGCCGACATTATTTATCATCTTTTTGACTCTTTCAAGGCCTACAACGACGAAATCACTGAGGCCAAAAGGAGAGATGCCGCCCCCCAAGCTGTGTGGCCCTGTCGATTGAAAATCATAGCCACTTTCTGTAAACGGGATCCGATTATTCTTGGAGTCGATATTCTAGACGGAACCCTGAGGGTTGGCACGCCCTTGGCTGTCGTCAAGATTGATCCTGTGACAGGCAAAAAAGACATTATTGATCTCGGAAAAATGTCAGTCCATCTCTTACTTTGTGGTGCCTCTGACCTTGTTTTTATAGAACATCATTGGAAATCAACCACAAGAACCAAGACGTACGTAAATGGTTAGGCAACAAGCACTTTGAGATTGACCGTCCCTTAGATTGTCAAAAAATCGCAAGCTGGAGGAGGTGTAGCGGTCAAGATCGAGCATGCTGTATATCAATCTGCGAAGATGTTTGGACGCCATTTCGACGAGAAGGATGAACTTCTCAGTCATATTACACGGCCAAGTATCGACGTTCTTAAGGTGCGAGAGCCATTATATGATTTACACCACCACCTGATGCACGATCGCCAGACTTCGTTCAAAGTTGATGTATCGAACGAAGAGTGGCTCCTCATTCGTGCCCTGAAACCCGTGTGTAGAATGCCTTGAGTTCCTTTGAACGATCCTGACAAATTTTCCAGCGTTTTAATATACCCTGAAGGCTGAACATCAGGAGGTACCAAGGAGGTACTTACAAACTTGCAGGGGATGTCTATTTTTACTTTTGTCCCCTTATCTTTTAATTTATCAGCTTACCAAGCAAATTTGTACCTGCTTGTACTTAAGATGAAAGTTTTTGCACGAAGTCATCCGATCTTCCTCCGACGTTTGCCCCTTCCCCATATTCTTCTTCTCAAATGGAATCCTCTGCAGGCTCCAAGCATGTCAAGGACCGTGTTGAAGAGGAGGTAGAAAGCATCGACCAAGACGAGGTCCAGATGGTAATAATTGGTCGTGCTCTGGGAGAACCTACTTTGCGTGGGGCGCGAACTGGTAATGTCAAAATCTGGTGATAAACTGGAATGGCTGCGGGTATCCTTCATGCCCTCTATCTTCATATTCCTCGAAGTGGTGAATTCCACATGAGAGCGGTATGAAGCAGAAGGCTTGAGGATTGAGATTATACCGCTAGAACCTGATCAGCGCTCATACCTGCGTAGGGAAGCCCCAGTGTCACCATGTTTCTTTCCCTTCCTTTTTTGGGGGATATCCATTTGCACGAACTAACGCTTCAATTTTCCAGCAAAGTCTTGGCTATAAACAAGTATGTTGCCGTGGCTTTGCAATGGTTTCTGATTCTATCTACCGTGGTAACCCGTCGCTTTTCGTTTTGCAGCAACTCCATCGAAGCTGGCATCTTGTCGAAAGTTTTGCGGCAAGTTTTTGCGCTTTGAATTTTATCGGCGGCGTCCGGTTCGTCATTCTATTCCCATTTGATGAGGTTATGAGCTCATTGTCGTCCTCAGATCCGCATTCTTCTTGGGCCTCTTGGCTGGCGGTCCAGCTGCTATTTGGTATAAGCTTCCTCTACGGTTAATGAGGGCCCTTTGTTGAGCTCCATATAGGTCGTCTTATTTGATCACCCTCGTCTTCATGACTATCACAGCATGGGTCCTTGCGGAAATTTGCTCTGCACTGCCGTTGAGCGGCTCCATATACATTTGGAGTGCAGAAAGTGCGGGTCCTAAATATGCGAGGTTCTTCGGTTTCATCGTTGCTTGGTGGGCTTGCACTGCTTGGATGACTTTCGTTGCAGGCAATTGTCAGGTATGGGCATCCGAGATTCAATTTCCCCACCCAACCTCAGGCGTTTTGTTTTTCAGACAGCTGCAAATTATATTGTTTCCCAGCTGGCAGTCTGGGAAGTGGATTTTCCTGGGGGAGTCGGCGACGACAACGTTAAATGGCGAGCATTGATTTGGGCAATCTCCGAAGGGCTGCTTGTCCTTTCCGTCGTGATCAACTACTTGCCTCCTAGACTCTATTCCGCTATTTTCAAGTTTTCGGTCTTTCTCATGATGCTCGATTTCTTCCTTTGCGTCATCTGGCTCCCCATTGGAGTATCGAAGACCTATGGCTTCCGCTCTGCGAAGGACGTTTTTACACAGACTTGTACGTTCCCGCAACTGCCGTGTTGTCCACACCCTTACCCTTGATAACCTTTCTTCAGATAACGGAACCGGCGCTCCAGCTGGATGGAATTGGATCCTATCTTTGTAAGCTTTCATTTCTC